AGACGTGTGCTCTTCCGATCTGGTACTAGCGCTATCGAAAGCGAAAGTGGACCGGTTCACACTCATAACTTATTGAATGTCTATACTTGCTCTCGGCACTTTAAAGTAGTATCATCTTCATTGTCTGAACTCGCAGAAGGTGTTTATGAGTATTCATAGCTTACTCATGTGAACAAACATACGTTACACGACTTTCGGATATACACTCACATATTTATTCTTACCCTTGTTCTGTTTATTATTTCTTTTTATTCTCATGAGTGTTTTTATATTGCAGATTTTTTGTGTTTATTTTTTTCTTTTCCTTTATTTTTATACAAATTTATTTTTATTTTTATATATAGAAGTATCTTTCTTCTATGTTTATCGGTCTTATTAAGTAATATGTTTGACGCTTTGTAATGTCCCTGCTAAAGGAAATAACATATTCTAAAACGTCTAATAAATATAGCGATTCATTTATGTTCTATCTCTTTCTTTCCCTCCTCTCTTTCTTCTCTATCCCATCCACATCCTTCTAACAAATTATTTTATTGCCTATGTTTTTAACAAAAATTAAATCTATAATTGTTTGATTAGCTTTATCTTAATAATTCTTGTCAATTGTACGTATTAACCTATATAATATTATTCCATGTTTAAAGTTAACATTGTCGTTTGCAGCTTCCTTGATATATAAATCTACTATGAAATCTATATTAAGTACCTAATTTACTTTTAAATCAGAAATAAGTTTGGATTAATGTTAGAGAAGTGAACAAAAATTTGATTTTACCGCGAAATGTTTTAGTTTCTTTTAAAGTCACTATGAGTGTGTTCATTTATTTTTCTTCCTAAGTTGGTAGTAATGTTTTTTGTACCGTTGATTTTGAATAAAGAAATTTGCCATTGTATCCAGATCTGTGAACACGTTTTTTACTTTATCCGACCCTAAATCCTAATAGTTAAGTTATATACTTTTTGGACTCCGTTCCTTCTTCGTTCACACATTTACGTTAATAAATATGCAATCAGTAATTCAGTGCTCATAACTATAACACGAAATGCATATATATTAATTGTAAGGAAACATTTAATAATAAAAAAAAGACAGTTTTTATTTTTCACTGTTTTTGAATATAATAAAATATAATTTATAAAAAATAATTTATAATAAAATATTCTACAATCCTTATAGTTTTAGCTGTATATTTTTAGCTTTATAATAAATGTCTGAAAAATTATACAAGACTACCATCTCTATTTGTTAATGTACTCAAGAATGGACCCACTATATTATAACATAAATCAAAGTTAAGATCTGAGTTATGATATCAATAACAATAAACTACAAATTATAAATACATATGACTATCGTTACAGGCGGAAAATTATTATTTTAGCAAAACTTTATATTTAAATTCTTCTTAACATGGATAAAATGTATTAAAATGTAACATATTAAAAAGAGTGCATTTTAAAGGAAATAAACAATATATCTATGGTTTGCTAGAATAATATATTTCTAATCAAAATTTCAAGATAACGTTAACCTTATTAATAGCAAAAAACTTTAAGCAACAATAAAACGCTATTTTTAACGCATTGAACCACAATTATTTTGGAAATTTAACATTTGATGAAACATGATTTACAACATCGTTTTCAATATTCAATAATCTATAATTAATACCTTGCTTGGTTCAATAATTTTTTGCTATAAATTAGTGTTATTATATTTTCTTTTCTTATCAGTTTTTTATATTATTAATCATAAAAGAGTATTTGTTTGAATTGTAATTCTTTTTCTATCATAAATTCTATTATTTTTGACTTATAGATTTAAACCAAAATTAATTTTTTATTTATGCAGGAACAATTAAATAATGATGGGAAGTGCGGTCTCTGTGGTGACGATTATAGAATGCCACAGCCTAGACCAAATGAAAATGGCGGAAAATATGGAACTGGTACTATTGTTAAAACGTAAGTGTATCTTTCGAAAATTATTTTTAAAAGAATAAAATTCTTAAAATTGTAACAAATAAAAAAAGATTAGCCAATGAATATCTCTGAATAAAAATAAAGTAACTGCATAATTTATGATATGTATTTCAATAAGTGAAGTAATTACATTTATAAATTCATATTCGAATTCATTTTTCTCTTTTCTAAAAAAGTAATTTAAAATTTGACAATAGAATAAAACAAATCTTAAATACAATAAAGAAAGAAGTAAGTTAAAATAAAAAACGAAATAAGATTATTTAAAGCTTTTTTTTTAATTTAAAGCGATTATTTAAAGCTTTTGATGATTACTTTTGAGAGAATTGCGAACATGAGGTAAACGTAAATAACATTATTTTTACTTCTTGCACCTAACATAAACGAAAATTCGATATTTAGAATGCCGCATTATACGCGTTTTAAAAATAAATATTTACTCTTTTAAATCAAACTAATTGTTTCATTCAGTTTTTATTTGTTCTCAATTTTTAAAATTACTAATATAATTTCTGTTATAACGTAACAACTATAATACTTTATATTTGCAGTTATAAAGCAGGACAAATAATTGAACTGGTAGCTAAACTCACTGCGAATCATATGGGTTACTTCCAATATTCAATTTGCCCCCTAAACCATAGTAAGGAATTAGAAACCGAAGAATGCTTTTTTAAATATCCATTAAAAATGACGGACGGCAGCAATAAATATAAATTACAAAGTTCTAACAGTGGAGATTATAAAATGAACGCTTATTTGCCACAGGGCCTTACTTGTGAACATTGTGTACTCAGGTAAGAACATAAATTTCAATTATGATTGTAAAACGGACAATTTATAGGAAATGGTATAACTAAAAAAAAAATTGTTAGTATAACAATAATAACATAACTAAAAAAATCATACTATTTATCTAAAATTTAATATTCTACATATTTCTCTATGTATAAGCGTATGTTCATGGTATAATATTATCAAACAACTTTATATCCATTACACATTTTTTGAAATATTATTTAAAAAACTTTGCTTAATAGAGTAAAATAATTTGTAATATAATGACAATAACATGATAGATAGTATTCTGTCTTTAATATATTGTATATGTATATATTTAATGTTATTTTTGAAAAATTGAATAATTCTTGTACGTATTAATAAAACTTATACGTATATATTATCACTTAATTATAATATTTATATTTTTATTTAATGTTTTGATTTTGCTTTATTAATTTTAAATAAAAGTAGATAGAGATCACTTAAAAAATATAAAACTAACGAAATAGATTTTTAAACATCTTGGAATATAGCTGCTTTTTTTATAAATATTACATTACTAAAAGAATCGTACCATTTTTTTAGAATAATTCTTATATATTCTCATGTAGTTTTTCTATCTATTACTAGATGGCCAAATAGATAAAAGTTTTCTCTAAAAAGAAAAGTAATTAAAATTCTACATATTTCTCTATATATAGCGTACGTTCATGGTGTAATCAGTAATGTATAAGCAATATTCAATAAACGATGTATTACTTTTTTTGAGAACAAAATTTTTTTGAAAAACATGAATTTATTTTAAAAAGTTATACATTACTCGACAAAAAATAGGGAACACTTTAAAAACGCTTAAAATTGGACAGTATTCAAATCGCTGTAACTCAGTGAAAAATTATCGTAGACAAAAAATTAAGAAAGCATTTTGAAGCTTGAAACTTATATTTTAACATGCTTTTTGTTGTTTTTCAAAATTTTTTATCTCCACAGTTTTATATTTAAAAGAATATCAGGTTATTTTGTTCTTTACAAATTTGCGCATTCCACACTCTGCAGTTCGATAAAAAAATTTTCCTCAAAAAATTAAAGATTTTCATAAAAAAAATATATAATTTTACCTACAAAATGTTTTTTTTTTTAATTTTCGTACAATTTTTTTATATCAAGCTACGCGACTTTGAAGCTAAACCTACATTTCTTATAACCAACGTTGAATTTCAGTGAAGAGATTGCCGATTTACACATAGGTGTGGTGTGTGTGTGTAGAATAAGCATGTGCTTTGCGTGCGTATGTTTAGTATTCTGTATTGCTTCCTCTCTGATTAACTTTTAATCTACCACATCCCAAAAAATTACACTAACAATGTCGGTCTGACAGACCGCTATTATGCTCTCGCTAATTTTATAAGTTATGTATAATAAAAATATATGTTTTCTGAATATTTATGATGGGGAAAAAGAAAACTATGTTTTAATGTGAGGGTTAACAAAAAAACCTCGTATACAATAGAAATAAAATATATTTAAATGGTGACAAATAAGAAAATGGTTGACAAGTAACGTTTCAATAGCAGTCTGTGAGATCGATATAGTGGTTTAAAGGTTAATTATCATTTATAAAGGTTCTCGCATGTTTATGTATTTTTGAATTAAATTCATTGGAATTGAATCCGTCAAGCATATTTGAGACAAGATGAAACGATATTTAACCCTTTCAAGCACGGTGGCATTGTGGATGCCACCTTTTCCATAACCATTTTCTTAATAATTAGGGTAGTTTTCACTCAATTTTCGAATTTTTTTTGTGTTTTGGTATCAGTTATACATTCAAGAATAAGAATCGATGTGCAATAATTTGAAATTGTGGGTGATTTTGTTTATACAAATAAACAAACGTTGAAAAATAGCAATTTTTTTGGAGAAAATTCATTATTTCCGAAAGTTTTCAAAGTTTCCACACAAAGATTTTCCCTCAAGGATTTTTAGAGTCGCTGATTACGAATCCGTGGCCAGATTTCTAAAATTCAAAATAGCGGATCTAATATGGCGGACCCAAATTCGAAAAACGATGCAAATTTTATAAAAATGTATATCTGAGGGTTCTCGTAATCACCAATTACGAATCCGTGGCCAGTTTCTAAAATTCAAAATGGCGGATCTAATATGACGGATCCAAATTTGAAAAACGATGCAAATTTCATGAAAATGTATATCTGGAGGTTCTCGGAGTCGCTGATTATGAATCAATGGTCAGATTTCTAAAATTCAAAATGACGAATCCAATATGGTGGACCCGAATTCGAAAAATAATGCAAATTTTATGACAATTTATATCTGGGGGTTCAGCGATTTTATACTCGATTTGCACTGTTTTTTGGATTATAGTCGCTATATTGGATCCGCCATTTTGAATTTCAGGAATCTGATTACGGATTCGTAATCAGCGAGAGCCCCCAGATATACATTTTCATAAAATTTGAATCGTTTTTCAAATTCGGGTTCGCCATTTTGAATTTCTAAATTTTGACCTCAGATTCCTTCAGATCAGCAACTTCGAAAACTCTCGAGTACCAATTTTTGAGTCAATCGTAGATAAAGAAAAATGTATGCCTCAAAGGGTTAAGACGCCGTGAGGAACAGTCACAAAATTTGAACAAATTAGGAGAGGTTCTTAAGCAATTTGGTACAAAATTCCAATGGATTTTATCCAAAAGTGTATACAGTATAAATATGTGACAGCGCTTACAAGCAGTAATCAATTAGAGAGGAGGAAACACACAATATTAAATACACGTAAATAACATACTTATTTATCTGTTAAGATCTTTCCTGAACGACTTCAGGAGAATCCAACAACGGGAGAGGATGTCCCAAAAACAATTATTCCGTTATAAAGAACAAATACCGTTTTATTATAATGACACTTGACAGTGCTGAATAAACTAAAATTGCAGTGCATGGCAATGAGTGAAACAAAAGGAAATTACAGTAACAGAAATTCACGCTTAGGACCGCGATCGCATCATTAGGGCGCGTACATAACATTATGCTTTTACAGCCTTAAGGAATATATATACTTTACGAAACATAAAATAAAAAAATAGACATGCAGAATCTAATACTTAATATTATCTAACACACACCCATCCCCCCCCCCACACACACACACCCACACACA